CCATCGTTGCCTGAATTGCTACTACACTTAGGCTGTCGGCAACACTGCTGGTGTGAAAATGCATACACAAACACCTGTTCATGCCAATGCTTTCACCTCCCTAACGGCAACAGCCACTGTTAGCTTCTGTTTTGGGGGTGATGATGATGGCAGTGACGGTCACCAGCTCTACTCCTTGAGGCGACCCTGGCTGTTTTACTGATAAGACAGCAGAGCTGATGATATCAGGCAAATCACACACAAGGACAGAAGGAAAGCAAGACCTGAACCAGGTCCAGCCTCGGAGCCCAGGGCTCAGACCACGGCACTGACATGCCTGTCTCACCTCCCTTCCAGTGGGCAGCCCGAGGCTGAGCCCTGCCTTTGCTGTGGAGGTAACAGGCTGCTACCAGGCGACCTGAGCCTCAACTGCATCTCAGCTCTCCCCAGCTGGCGCCCATGAAGGCTGGAGCCCTGTCCTGGGATACACTCCACGGGCAGCACTCCCAGACCCCCTGCCTGTGACCGGCTGCACACACAGGCTCCACCAAGGGCTCCTTGGTTGGCATACTAGCCCATTTGCCACTCAGGATTCTGCACCCCCTCCCTGCACTCAGGGAGGCTGCTGTTTGCCTTTAACCAATTCAGAATGAATTCAGAGTCCTAATGGAGCCAGGAGATGGCACACGGGACATCACCCCAGCTCACTGCAAGGTGCTCCTTTCTTGTGACTGGGAGAAAGCTCCTCGGGGGGGGGGGATGGTGAAGGCTCCCCTGTCTTCTCTGTGACAAGGTGGGGAGCATGCCACTTCTGGCTGCATCCTGGAAGGGGTTCTATTTCAACCACTCTCACACTGGCTCCCCTGATCTGAACACCCCAGGCAACCCTAGGTCTGAGAACTCTCCCTGCCCAGCCTCGGCAGGCTGTTCCACACTCCACTTGCCCTCAAGCCCAAGGCTGTCCAGCCTGGCCGCATGGGCCACTGATTTCCAATTCCAAAATAAATGTCAGCTCCACATCTCTAAAGGGAGATGCCCACATACTTTCTCCATTTTCTAATTAAGTTCAGCCTTTATGCAACCTCAGACATGACCCTGGCTGGAGCAACAAAGCCAGTTGAATTTGGTTCCCTGGGGCACTGGCTTTGGTTCGGAACCTTCCTGCCAGCTCTCAGAAGGACCTCAAAGACCAAGGAGGGGAGAGCTGCAGAACCCATAGCCACGGGGGAAGCCTCACCAGACTGGCAGGGACAGGAAGCCTCCACCCAGGCACATGCGTGTGCATGTGGGTGTACGCAGGCCTCTATATACATGTGTGTGTGTAGGCAGCCTCTACATGCACATGCATGTCATTTACATGAATCCATGCACAGCATCATTCAAATACACGGAGCAGGAGACTCCCCCGACCCCCGTCTTTGTCCACCACACCCCATCACCCTGACTTTCTCCAAGATCTGGATCCAATTCTATATGCATTTGGGAGAAAGTCTCTGCATTGATGATTAAGACTAAACTTATGAGAAAAGAAACTTTTTTTTTCCTTCCCAGAAACTCTACTAGCTGGATTTGTGGGATGTGATGCCCTAAAGTTGATAGAATGCCACTGCCCTAACTCTCCTAAGTAGCTGAGTTATTATTATTTTTTTTAATTAGGCAAACCCTGCCAAAGGCAGCCTGGCTTCTGAGGCCAGACGAAGGCACACTAAGTTCCTAAATTGAAACTTCTGAAAAAGAAAAAATTCCCTCAAAGAAGTCGGGAAGGGCCAAAGCATCATTATAAGCACCACCCAGACTTCTGACAACAACCCACAGGCTGTCTGATCCGGGACGAAGAACCCCTAATCAACACAAAACCTCGGCCTTGGAACCCTCTCTGGGCAGACACATGGTCCCAGCGTGGACAAAGTCTGGGGCCAGGCCTGGCCATGCGGCCAGGAAGGAGACAGGCATTAGCCACAAAGGCTGGCGTGAGTGCTCAGGCCCGTAGACCCGTCATCTCCCCTCATACACACACGTGTCACGTGCCATGGGATCAGGACACATCAGGACACATGTGCCATAGCTTTACCTTACGAGAGGCACAAACGCACCAAGTACGCACAGCCTCCACACGTCAGATCTGGGCTGTCTCACACCTGCTCCAAACACCAACGTGCCCACAGCCCGGCAGGATCCAAGGCCAAGGCCCCTCCCCTGGTGCGTGTGCACACAATGGGATGCACACTGCACACACACGGGGGTGGGGGCAGCACTCTGTAGAGCCACAAGGCTACACAACCCTCCACTGCAGGACCAAACTGTCCCCATGGCGCCCTGTGGCTCCTGAGTCTCTCCCTCTGGACCACAGGGCTAGCCAGCAGCCACGCCTACTGTAGCTGCCCAGCACCAGTGAGAGGCTCAGGCCGCACTGTGCTAGGTCTAGACAAGACCAGAATTCCCGGCTCCATGGGTGGCTTTCGTAGGCCAAAGCCCCTAAGTTGAATCATCATGGAGGTGGGGGTTCTGACTTCTAAGCATTTTGAAGCAATGCTTGGGTGCGGTTACGGGAATACTAAATAAAGCAGAAAACAAGAGCACCCCCAGGGAGACAGGAGCCCGGGGCTGGGGCCGGGGCTGGCCAGTGCACCACCTGCTTTGCTCCTTGAATACCCCTTCACAGATTCCTCTGGAAATTTTCTGACACCTCCCCCCACGCACATACCCCATTTCTGACAAATCCACCAAGACCTCAGCAACTCACCTGTAGGAAAAACACATGCAGGCACTCTGCCAGGGCAGGGTTCTACAGCCACAGGGGCGGGCACAAAACACAGCCAGAAGGATACACTTGCCACATTTCTGTTCAGGCACCAGCAGCAGTATCCTCTTATCGCCTGCCCCAGATGCCAGCATCACAGATTTCGCCAGTGGCCTCCCTCCATAACACACCCAATGGAAAAAAAAAACCCATGCCCCTCAGCTCTTTGGGCTTCACCACCTCATGCACCATGTCACATGCAGAGCTCCAACAGACTGCAGCAAGCCAGGCCTGGGGGGCGGGGCTGGAAGACTCTAGGTCCTGGTTGGGACTCCCACATCCTATCTCAGAGTGTCTGGGTATGGGTCCCAGCTCTGTCCCAAATACAAGTTCCTGCCACTGTGCCAGCAGAAGGCAGCAGCTGCACCACCCACACATGGGACCCAGCCTGCTTGGGCTGTTCAGCCATAACCCTTGCAGCCATTTGCAGAATGAGTCAACAGATGACTGGTTCTCTCCCTCTTCTCTCCACCCAATTAAAATAGGCCTTAAAAATAAATGGAGGCTTCAATGCCATTGGAGGCTTCAATGCCAATCCCAACCCTGGCAGTGGGTGGCCCTCCCTCTGCCCAAACCCTGCCCGCAGGCCACACCTCTGCAGCTCTGCCCTGGACTGTCTGAGTGCACCCCTGGTGCCATGGGATGCACAGGGAAAGGAGTCCTTGTGTCCCAAGATCAGGGAGAGCCCCAGCACCCGGAGCAGACACAGAGCTGTGGGGCAGCATCAGGCTGGCTCAGACACACACCTCAGGGATGTGTCCATTTCTCTGAGCATGGACCATGCCCCTCCTCTGCTGGGAAGGTAAAGAGAGCTTCTCTACCAACGAAAAACCAACAGGAGGCTAAGCAAGGGTGAGAAACCAAATCCAGCCTGACTCCGGCTATCCAAGAAGGATGCACAGCTCAGCTGCTGGGTTTGGGGCAGCGGCAAGAGTGGGACCAGCTCCTGGTCGGCCAGCCAGGGTGCAGTAACTGGCTGGAGGGAAGAGGAATGCAAAGGGCACTCCTGGCCTGCAGAGGTCTCACACCCTGTCCACCTGGCATGACAGGAAGCTCACCCAGCACGGACTTCCATTACCACTGAGACCAGGCAGCAGATTTGCAGGAGGCTAATCCACAGAGGGAAGCACAAGCCCGTTCTCCATCATGGGCACGGTGCCAGGTGTGGGGTGGGCCCATACTGCTCCCACGGGAGACCTGGATGGGTTCTTGGCTCCTGGCCATTTGAGCTATCTGGGGAGCAGATAAAACACCTTTCTCTAACTCTGCCTTTCAAAAAAATCAATAATTTCTTAAAAAAAATTTCACACACTGGGACCAGCACAGTAGCACACCAGACTAATCCTCCACACTATAATGTCAACATCCCCCATGGGCACCGATTCTTATCCTGGCTGCTCCACTTCCAATTCAGCTCCCAGTTTATGGCCTGGGAAGGCAGAAGGATGGCTCAAGTCCTTGGGCCCGTGCATCCACATGGGAGACCTGGAGGAAGCTCCTGGTCCCCAGCTTTGGATAAGCACAGCTCTGGCCATTGTGGCCACTGGGAAGTGAACCAGTGGATTGAAGACCTCTCTCTCTCTGTTTCTCTGTCTCTCAATTCTGCCTTTTAAATAAAAACAAATATTCTTTTTTTAAAAATTCCATACATGTTCAGTACATGAACAGGCTTCCCCGCCCCCACTGCCAAATACCTTTACATGTAAGGAAGGCTGGGAGACAGAAAAGGGAGAGAAGGGAAGAATGTTTATCCAGTACCACATGCAGGTCCTGCTGAACCAGAAAGCAAACGCATCCCCCATCCACGCTGGTGGAGCACATAGCTCCTGCAGCCATGTAAGTCATACATTCAGCCAAGACCACCCAACACACTGGACAAAGCCCACCGTGTCCCCCAGCACACACCTGCCTCCTGTCTGGGTGTCCCCTACCACAGACATCTCCCTCGGGCAGCCTGGGCCCATTTCCCTGGAGGTCAAACTTTCCCCATCTTGTTGGTTACCCCTTCATTCAGATGCCCTCTACCAGATACCATATTGGCCCCCTTTAGGAAAAAGCACAGAAGTCAAAGAACCACAAAGAAGCACCATACAAGGAAAGAGGCAGCAGAGCCCGAGAGCTGGGACCCAGTGTCCCAACTGAGACCCAGTGTCCCCAGGTCGTCCTGCTGGGCACAGCCCTCTCCCAACTCCCCAGCTCATGACCATGAGTCTCAACTCACCGACAGTGTCACACGGCTCATCTTTGTGGACGCAGAAATCTGTCCTGCAAACAGATGAGCAACATCAGGTGCATGCAGTGGTGCTCCAGAAAGTGACGCAAAACACTGGTGAGCCCCAGTGAGCTGTCCCTGGGTGCAGCTGCTTGGAGAATGACAATGTGCAGCTTTTGCAACAAGTAACGCAGCCACAGCAGCCCAAGTAGTGGGGGGTTACACTTAGACGGCCCTCTCATAGCCGACCTATCCCACATGCAATAGCTGCTGGAAGGACCATTTCTAACAGCTGGGAGTGTTCTGAAAGGAGATGTCTGCAGAGTCGGTCATCACCGGAGACAGATACTGGCTAAAATCCTGACAGCAGCAGCTGACACGGGCAACTCCACTTGGGCCACTGTTTTATGAAGCCCCAAATGACCACAAATCACCCCTGAGAGCACAACACAGCAGTTGTTTCTAAAACCTGCACCCTAACTTTCCAGGATCACCCAACCCAGGGCTAGGCATCAGGCCAGTGAGCAGGCAAAGACGACCCAAGCCTGGAGCTGGCCTGATGCTCTGATACTGCAAGTCTATGGAGCTCAACAGGCCCCACAGCACTTTGCCATGCAGGGTTGGCAGCGATCACAGCATGCTGGACGGAGAGCACAGCATGCTGGAGGTTCAGCCAGGACGACTCCTCCCACCTGCGTGAGAGGTGGGCTCCACCATTCACCCCACCACCACCACTGAACAGGAAGCCAAAGTGCAGACAGAGGTCCAAGGTCCAATGTCCTCAACACAGCCTGCATCCTCTCCAGCAGGAGACTTTTCTCTCCCTCACACCTACCAGCCACGGGCCCAATCCACATTTACCTGGTCACAAAGACGGCAGCATCCACAGGAGGCATGTCATCCTTCCCTCCAGGAACCTGATTGCTGCCCAAGTACCGGGCGCCCCCATACTCCTCATTCTGCCAGTGACAGAAGCTCTCCAGGGACCGCTCTCCATGGTGCCCGATGGACAGCTTGGCCTAGGGGATACAAGAGTGGGAGGAGTGAAGGCCCAGGGCATGTACCCAGTCCGAGGAGATCATTACAGTGCTTGCTGAGTTATCTCTTGATGATTCTCTGTATCCACTGGACACATCAGAGAGGTGGGCAGGTGGTGGAAACTGGAGGAAGTCAACCCAGAGACTGAGGGCTAAGATCTGGTGAAGCATGTTCCATAAGAACATCCTTTCCTTCTGTCAACAAGGCGCAGAGCACCACTCAAAGTAATCTCCCAAAGACCCCAGGTTGAACTCCAAATGCATTGGAGGTGGGAGGTGACAGTCACACTTGAGACTGCAGAGGGGAGAGGCAGGGAGGCATGGGACCCCGGGTCAGGGTTCCCACACCCTTAACAGCGCTCTGCTTCATCCCACAAGGCCATGGTGGTTGAGTATGACTCACAAGGGATTCTCATAGAGCTCATGGGCCTCAGGGAATAGGGCAACATTAAACACCAATTCCCAACCTTTTTGCATTGAAATGATCTTCATGTCTCCAGGCCTTTGAAAAGGAGCCCCTCCCTGGCACCCAGTGGCAGTGAGCTGCTCAAAGACCAGTCACGTTCCTCCCGGTGTGCTCTGGAAGGCGCAGTGGGGACTTACCGGGCGCTGTCGCAGCAGGACCAGCTTGGTGACCTGGATATGGACCTTGACCCCAAGGCTCTGATGCTGAAACATGTTGTACACCTTTCAGGAGAGGGGGAGAGGAGACACGGGTATGAGGAGAAAAACGAACGCCCTGTGTGGCAACTTGGGACAAAGCAGTGACATCAGGTGCCAATGTTGGCCAGTGCACACTTAGGGTCCCAGTGCTAAACGCAGGTGCTGGGACGCCCCCCACCACAGACTCGACTTTTTTGAACATCCAAATAGTCTTAGCATACAAATTCCACCCCGTGGGACTTTCATAATGAAAATATAGGAAGTACAGCTGTGCTCATCTCATACTAAAAAACAAAAACAAAACAAAAAAAAAACCTAAAGCAGTGTGACTTCGTGTAACTCAAGTTTCAATATTCGCAGGTGGAGTGTAGAACAACAAAAAGTACATATAGGTGAGAAAAATAACAGACTTTACTGAAGAGACTTTTCAGAGACCAAAATCTACCCTAAGAGGAAATTTCCCCAGTGAAAAATGTATCAGGGCACAGCATGATGGCCCAGTGGCTAAATCCTCGCATGGCATGCGCCAGGATCCCATATGGGCGCTGGTTCTAATCCTGGCAGCACCGCTTCCCATCCAGCTCCCTGCTTGTGGCCTAGGAAAGCAGGTGAGGACGGCCCAAGGCCTTGGGTCCCTGAACCCATGTGGGAGAGCTTGAAGAGTCCCCTGACTCCTGGCTTCAGACTGGCATAGCTCACAGCTCTGGCCATTGTGGTCATTTGGGGAGTGAACCAGTGAATGGAAGATCTTTCTGTCTCTCCTCTCTGCACATCTGATCTGCATTTTCAATAAATAAAATCTTTTCTTAAAAAAAAAAAAGGACAAAAGCAAGGCAGGGTGATGTGCCTTTCCAACACTGTCCATACTGCACCTCCTTCCTAACCCACACACGGCTGGGAAGAACCTGCCAGCCAGGGCGCTGGCACACTCTGCAGTGTGCTGCTTTCACGCTATCTGGGCAGCAGTAACAGCCCCGGACAGGGTCAGACCAGGCCACACAGACCTGGTCAGGGCCCTGGGGCTCGGCTCACAGGCGGGTCAGCGAGCACAGTGCTCAGGCAGCTGCGTGACAAAGGGATTAAGCTTTGCCATGGCTTCAAGGTTACTCATCGAAACTGCCCTCAAAATTACATAAAGTCTATCTCTGCATAACCTATTCCTTCCCACAAGGGAAAATCGGGACGCATTCAGCTGTCCCACTCTCACTTTCCTCTCGCTAACATTTTCTTGCCTAAGAACAAAAGAAATTTCAGAAAAGAACAAGGTGTAAGAGGCTCTCACTGTCGAGTACTCCGAGACCTCAAGACGTAAATGCCACGTAGCATTCTCACAGGGCCTGGAAAGAAACTGACATCATGCAAAATTCAAGAAAATCTCATCATGCTGTGGACATTCATCAGTATCATGGATCAATACTGGCTGTGTACAGTGGTTAGGTATTACACTAACCCAGACGGAAACCGTGTGGGAGTACAGGCTGGAGAGCAGGTGTGAAAGCTGGGCCCCAGGGAAGGTCCTTGACCCTGACCTTGTACCCATCACACTCCAATGCACAGCACAGGGCAGGACAGATATGCACAGTCACTCCTCAAGGCCCTGTGTCAGGCAAGCAAGCAAGCAGGTGAGAGCCCAGGAGGAGCCTCAAAGCACAAGGGGCAAAGATCATGTCCACACACTACAGTCTGCCCATCACTTTTTCCCACAAAAACTCATCCCTGGCAAAAGTCCCAGAGGCAGTAGCCATGTGGTGTGCTGGGAAACACCTGGCTGGGCCACAGAAGAGTGAGGCCAATCATCTGCAAATTCTGTCCCCAGTGTCCACTTGTGGCCACATCCCCACAAACTCAGAGCCCTGGCTGCCTCCATCAGGGACAGGAGGAGTAGAAGCTGCTCAGCAGGCTGGGTTTTCAAACGTGACCTCCTGCCCCACGCAACCCCATGCTTGCCTAGGACACACAGGGTCTTGTGGCTGATGCCCCGTGTTTCTACTGGGCACCCCCCAGACCTTTCTCTGGCACAGTGCCTCTGAGTGGCACCTGTCAGAAGCACATCCTCAAATCAGACACTAGGGCTCTGGCACTCTACTGGGTTTTTAGTACCATCGCCAAGCACAAACTACTGGGACTTGATCAGGCAGCCCGTATCCAGCCATGTCACCCAAGAATGAGCTTTCTGGCATTAGCTCCATCTGCTTCTGCTCCGGTGTCCTCAACACTCCGAGGAGGAGTGTCCCTCCTCCAAGGAGGACCAAGGTACAGGTTTTGCAGAAAGGTCCTGTGGCACAGTTGGCAAAGTCCAGCTCAGCCCAGCCAACATTCTCCCTATGTATCTGCCCAGGTGGGAGGTTTGCTGGGGACACAGAGCAAGGAGCAAGACTCCATTCCCTGGGTAATACCCAGGCGTTGGGATCTTCGGAACACCAAGCTGTGCTGCAGCCCAAGCCACACCTGCACACCATGCCTGCAAGCCATTCCTGCAAGCCACGCTTGTACTCTACATCCTAGCCCATGAAGCCACGCCCTGGCCTGGAAAGCCACATCTGTATGCCACACCTGCTCACCACGCCTGCAAGCCACGCCCTGACCATGAAGTCAACCTGCTCCCTCTCATCACCATCAGCTGGAACAACCACCTCTTTCTGAGCCTCTAAATGCCTCACTGGGAGGCTCCCCCTCACAGTCATGTGCCTGGCTGCCTCAGTCCCTGCCCAACCATCAGCACCAGTCATCCTTGCCACTGAATGCTGTCTGCCACCTACTCTGTTCCACGAGGCTGGGTCATGTCATGGTCCCCAGTCCACTCCAGGAGAGGCCAGAGCAAGCTAAACATGCAGATGCATGGTGAAGACAGCTCCGTAAATGGATGCACCTGTTTCCCTAAACGCGTTCACCGAACACCAGCATCCTGACCAGCTTTATGATATGCGACAGTGGTGAGAAACGTCGTGTTGCAGTGTGCTGGGTCTCTACAACTCTCCTCTGTGTAACTGCACACCCACTGTCATACATGCTCCCCCAGTTCCTCCCCTGGACACCACCACTGGCGCCATCCTCTCAGACCTGGACCACTCTAGGGATCACAGTCACGCTTGTCCTTCTGCTTGCTTCCCTCAGCACAGTGTCCTCAAGGTCCACTCGCGTGCATCCGCAAGTCCTTCCTCTTTCACACCTGCACAGTCTGTTCCACAGCACAGTTACACCTACCTCCACCTTCTGGTCGCAATGATTGCCACCTTCTTGAATGTGGGTGTGTGTCTCTCTGCCTTATGTCAGGGTCATCTAAGTCCGCCTCTGTCATGATCCGGCTTCAGGGAGCTCACACGCTTGGCTGGGGTATCACTGGCTGGAGTGAGTGAGTGTGTGTGCGTGTGTTTCTCTAAACAAAGAATACTTACTGCTGTTTTCACTAAGGAACTTTTCTCCCACCAGGTGAGCTTTGGGCAGTGGCCCTGATCTACCAGGAGAAGCAGCAGTAGGGCGGAGCCTAAGGACTTGACTCCTGAAGACAGAGGTCAAGCAGAGGGGCAGCAGAAGCCCAGCAGTGACTATCAGCCTGAACTTAACCTTGACCTCTCCTGCTGTTTCTGAGCCTCCCCAAGCCCCTTCCCTAGACTATGCTCCAGTTCTAAACCAGGTGACCCCAGGCCCCTGATGGGGGACACCTCACTCTAGCCCCCTAAAAGGCGATTCCTTCTTTCTCATCCAGTTTCTGTAATCCTGACAAGTACCGGCAGCTTGCTTTCTGTCAAAGACAAAATGGCTTCGTCCCACACCAGAGCACTCTGGCACCCTCTCCACACCACACTAGCCCAGCCGTCCCAGCTTGGAACATGCCAACAGCACACAGGTGAGCCTGGCCCTTAAGCAGAAGCCCACAAGGCCACAAGGCATTGGCACCAGGGACAGCAACTGCCCGAACAGAGAGCAGCCTGTGCTGGAAGGCTACGTGAGGAGAGGCTTCATGTTGCTCGGCTGTCGCTTCAAGGCTCTTCATCCCTGCCAATCCGCCCCTTCCTCCTGGGTTGCAGGTGACCTTCTCACTCCCTGCAGCTTCCACTTTGCCAACATGGCTACTGGCAACACAGACATCTCCGGATTTCCTGACAGAGGATTTGCAGGACTGAAGCAGAGGAGTGGGGAATGAGAGTGGGGACAGACAAGACGGGGGGGGACTTAGGCAGCCCACTTTTCAATAGCCCTACCACAGGGGCTGGCCCTGCTGCAGACTCTGCTTGCTGATTGCCCCAGCCAGCCCCAGAGCCCACAAGGACCATGGCCACTCACACCTGGGACACATCTAAAGCCAGGCCTAACTGTTTGCATCCAGGGTCCTCCAGTCCAAGGGCAGTGCAGAGGTGGGGGATGCTGTCCCTCTTGTCCTCCCAGCTCGTGGAGTAGGGGCGGTTCAGTGCTATCGCCGCCCCCTTCTCCCAGCCTGAGATCCAACAGCTGCTGCTTCTGGCTATACACAGGATGAAGAAAGAAAACATCCCAGTGGAAGCCATGCCTTGCTGCCACTTTGGAAGTGATGAGCACTGATCCCTCACCCTGTGCCCCTGGATCATTTTTAAAGAGAAACGCGCACTGAGCGGATCTGCAGATGACAGCACGTAGGGCAGGGTCTGGCCCCTGCAGCCCAACTCAAGGCTTGTCAGTACAGACATGAGTACCGCAGGCCAGCGCCAACCAGCTCCCAGAGAGCAGCATGCCCATGCAGTGAACAGAAGCAGGCCCATCTCGGGGTACACCGTACCCAAAGTGTGCAAACAGGAAACAATACAGAATACAGATGTGGCTGTTTTCTGGCTGTCACTGACTGCCACAGCCTGGGGAATCCTCAGCTAAGGGCTCTGAGGGCTGCCGTGCACCTGCCAGGGGCTTCTGCTCCACCATCGTCTGCCACCCAGAGCCACTACTAACACCACCACGGCACTGGGAAGGTGAAGTCCCCGTTCTCTTGGCCTCCTCTAATCGTAGTGCTCTCCAAGGGGCCCCCACCTAGAAATGCCACTGGTACGCAACTTTGGGGACCAAGTCTTCAACAGCATGTGAGTTCTAGGGGACATATAATCTAACCATGGCATTGGGCAGCAGTGGAAGTACCCCAGGTGTGTGCGATTGAGGAGGGGGAAGACAAAGTAGACCCAACATCAAGGAGCCTGGCATCCCTGGCACCTGCACAGCCTAGCAGGGCCCTGGGGACTCTGCACAGAATGGAAGAACCCATTTGCCCAATGAAGGATAAACATTGTGAGATGACACCCATATGACGTGCTGCACGTGGGAGCCAAAGTCACGGAATGTAGAGCAGGCCAGTGGTGCGGGACCTAGGGCAGGGGGAGTGATAGAGCCACAAAACATCGTTTTTAAATGCTTGGGTTGGGGGTGTGACACCCATGCAGTGCCCACAGAAATCCCAGGAGAAAACAAAGCAGCAGCCCAGGGTGTCAAATGGACCTCTCATAGGCTGCCCACCTGGGTAGCCAGGACTGAAGTCCTCAGGATTGATGCCTTAGGGCAGAGGCCTGGCCTGAAGGTCATGGCCCTGCCAGCAACAACCTGTGTGACAGACACTGGTCGTGTGCCAAGCCTCCCTACTCCTGTCTCATCACTTAGGGAAATGAACTCTGGAACTCCAACCCACACAAATGGAGGTGCTCCTCACCCGATCACTGCATGCCATCTGTCCCCCAGACTCAAGAACCTGAGGGCACCTGACACGGAGAGGTCAGGGCCTCATGGGCACAGTCCCCTCTGTGCCCTCCACCCCAGAGGTTTCCCCTTGGCACAGAACACAGCCAAGGGCCCTTCAGGTACTCAGCTCCCGTGTCCCTGGGCAGTGCAGGTGCCTGCAGCCACCTCACAAGGCATCCTGGCTGTGGCTGCACCCAGCCAGGGTCTGCTGTCCCCCCTCCCACCATACGACACCGCTGCTGACATACCCCTGGCAGGCTCACCTTCTTGTCTTCGCCCCTTTTGGGATCAACATGGCCCATGCATCCTTGTGGTGGGGTCCAGCACCTGACAGACACCTAAACCCCATACTCATAACTTCCCCCTCCCTGAAAAGTGCCCCTAACCTGAGGCCACCCAGTGGGGTTCTTCTCCCTCCCCTGCCCTGTAGTTACTGTTCCTACTCCCTCCTCGTTCATTCAAGTCTCTGTTTCTGCCACCTGCACACCCCAGCAAGTCCTAACTTGTTCAGCAAGGGCCCCACTGACCTCATATCAGGCACAGTGACGCAATCCCTCCCTGCACTGTCACTCCACGTGAGGGACCTGTTTGCTGTGAGGACATGTCTTGGTGGGTCCCCAGTTCTGGGTCTGACAGGGCCGCCTCTCAGGTCACACCTCTGGGAAGATCAACTCTCCCACCATCTGAGCCCTGCAGACTAGGGCAGGGACTTGCAGCGACCCTTCACCTCCACCAGCAGCCTCCCCATGGCCACAGCCGCTCCAGCCGAGCAAGGCTGGCCTCTCCCATGGCTCCGACTATCAGCTCTAAGCAGGAAGTCTCAGGCTCCTGCTTCCCGCTGAGACCTCTGCGTCCATCTCCCACCACAAACTCAGTCAGTACAGACTGGCACGCCTTATGTGGCTCCAAAGGCTATGGTTCCCCTTTTCTCACTGGGGGCTCCACCATCCCCACAGATACCCAGGATGTCTTTTTCCACCTCCTGCAGGCCCCCTCCCCTAGCACCTCACTCCCCATTCCCATCCCCTTAGCTCTGCACCTCCACATACGCCCCCTTCCCAATGCTCCCGCTTGCCCTCAACCAGGTAGCTGGCCTGTGTACATCTGTGGGGCTGTTCTCCAACCACAAACCTACACATGTTGCTCCCTCCAACAGCCTGAGTTGTTGAGGTCAAGTCCTCACCCCCATGACATCTTTTTCCTTAATCTATTTCCCATTTTAATAATTTTTGAAAGCGTTTTATGAAGACACAATATACAAATGCACAATATGCTCACAAGCATACAGGTAAGCGTGGTGTGTGCCCCTGAGCACACCCATGACCAACACACACATCGAGAACACCACACTGTTGGTGCCCTGGGAGACCTGACCCTCCCCTCCCTTTTGGATACTACCCTGTACATGGTACAATTCAGGAAAGAAGTCCCTATAACACATCAAGCGACACAGTATCCACACAGTTTATCCTCTCTGTTAACCACCACAAATAAGAAAAAGCCATGTCTTATTTCACTTAGCATAACAATCACTAGCTCATCTGATTAGTTGCAATGTCAAGATTTCATTCTTTCCTATGCCTGTGCCATATTTCAACTTGTACACACACCCCATTTCCCTTATCTAAATGTTGACTGATGGATATCTAGGTTCATTCCTTATCTTAGCTAATGTGAATTAGGCTGCTATAAATTACACAGAGAAGTTATATGCCAACTTCATTTCCTTTAGACGTATTCCTAGGAGTGAGATATCTAGGTCAGATGGTAGATTTTTAGTTTTCCACTTTGCACAATGACTGTCCTAATTTGCCTTCCCACCAGTGTATCAAGGCACCCTGGCTAGCATTTGTTGTTTTTTTGACAGGTGGATAACAGCTCACTTGTATAGCTACATTTCCCTGGAGAGCGGTGATCCTACGCATTTCTTCATGAGTCCCTTGGCCATTTGTATTTCTTCTTTTGAAAAATGTCTGTTCATGTTCTCTGCCCATTTCTCACTCAAAGCCTTCCACCCCCCAAGCCATGGTCTCCAGGCTTCCACACTACCTGCTGTAGGTGGATCGCACCTCCTACCCTCTGCATGGAGCCTGCACCCCTGCATGCCTCTGACCTGCTGTACAGCCTCTCCCCTCACTCCTACACCCCTGGCTTTGCATCAGAATCTTCCTTTCTTTTCAAGAACTTGCTATGAAAGCCTCCTTCATCTACTACCATTGCTGCCTTCCATGACAGGGACCAGACCAGCACCCAACACGAGGCCAAACAAGTGTGAAGGCCTCCAAACCTGCTTCTTGGAGAAAGGAGGGGATGGCACAGCCAGATGTGGTCCAGGAGCCCCGGGGGTCTAACAGCTGAGGAGCTAACACATCCCTAAGCATGGAGTCCATCACCGCCCTCCCTGCTCCTCCAAGCAGGAAGCTCCCTCCCTGTCTCTCACCAAACCTTCCTGCACAAGGTAAGCTTTCCAATCCCTAAAGTGTGATTTTCTTTTCTTCCACAAGGTTTCTGCCTCCTCATTCAGAGGCAGTGGCCTTTGGAGTGGGTTTTATACAGAGCTGGGGGCCTGAGAAGGCTTCTGGCAGCCACTGGGCACACACGGGCCACAATACCCCACAGTAGGGCCCAGAAGGTGGCAGGCTTCACTCTCCTGGAGGCCAAAGTGCTCCCCCTACCCCAGATCAGAACCCCATGCAGAGCAGCCATGGACACTCACCATATTCATGACGGTGAGAATGAATCTCTGTGCAGCCTCAGCCCCGTGGTACTGCACCATGTCAGCGTCAGCCACCACCAGGGTCTCCACCGTGCGCTCGCCACTGAGCTGGATGGCATTCCTTCGCTCCCGCCAGTCCCGAGACAGGCTGCTGCCCTGCTTTGGCATCTTTTCTGGAAAACGATGGAAATATTAGCTTGCTGATTTCCCAAAGCATGCACAGAACAGACCTTCCCTGGTCACTCCCAATGGGAGGTAGCCTCTCTGTAGTCCAGGCACCTCCAACACCACACTGGGTGGGCAGCTAAGGTCATTCACAGATGGAATGTGTCCACTCAGAAGGGGAAGATGTGGGGAGGCCTGGTGGAGAGGTTCCAGGATTGCCCACCCTGACAGCCAGGCTGGGCTGGACACTTTAGGAGAGAACACAGCTGTTCCAAAAGGTCGTGGGTGGACCACACAGGTCTGAGCAGAGAAAAGTCTGGACCAGAGGAGAGGGGCTGGGAAACTTCCAAAGTCAGTGACGTAGGATCAGCAAATGAGTCTGGCAGGCACACAAACTACTAATGATGGGGCCAAGGACCAGGGACCATCAGAGGCCAGATGGTCCCCAAGGCTCACATCCTAGAGACTGCACAGTCATGAACGTGCAGTTAAAAGCACTGACGTACACAGAAGCAGTATTTATCAATCCATCAGCAAACCCATGATACACATCCAGACTAGGACATGAATGTGGCCACACCTAAAATGGAAGGGTTACCAGTTACCACTGTGTGACTCCCTGTAGAATCTGACTTTGACCAACAGCCATCATATTAAGGAGCCCACACTGGATGACCTATGCTGCTGTCTTCGCCTCTGACCATCCCAACAGGTGGAGAGGCAGAACACAAAAAATCCAAAGTGTGAACAGGAAGGTAGGGTGTTCATTTCACAGCTAATTCCACTGCTAGCATTAGCATATATGAACACGGCTGCTTCACCGGACACGCAGGAAACAGTCTGCACAGACAGCAACAGGTTTCGTCCGTGATCCCCATCAATCCAGAATCAAAAGCAGATACTATGATCATATTTGTGGGTCATAATTTACAAATAAGAATGTTCTGTGCACTGTAATTTACACTTACAAAAAAAAAAAAAACCTGGGAAACTGGCAGACACACCAGCTGTAAAATCAAGTCAGTGATGCTCGAAGGAACACAGCCATGCACAGCAGCATCTGCTGAGAATATTCCAATGTCAACCAGTTGGAGCTAAGTTTTGCACATTTTTTCACAGAAGCACCTGCAGGTCCCAAAGACAGGTAAGCATATACAAGCACACACACAGAGGCAGTCTTCAAACAGTCCATGGGAAATGAGTGCTAGGAATAAACTGCATATACATTTCAAAACACCCCCAACAAAACAAATTTGTATAAACCTGTTACAACAAGTCACAGGCAGACAGAGTTTGAAGCACACAAAAGGATGAGGCATCAATTTATAGAGCCTCATCAAAGCAACACAAGTTCAGGTAACACAGAAGCAAGACCAGCCATTAATTAACGATGATGGGGAGGTGGAGGGAGGCTGCTTTACGACTGCCGATGGGGAGAGTGCCCCCAAAGAAGTCAGTAGCTTACAAACAGCTCGCTCACTTTAAGAAGGATGAGACAATGCTACAGGTGAAGCCCAAGGGGACAGATCATCTCAAGGAAAGTATGAACCTTGTTTGTGCCCCAATTGAAGAGGCAGATGACTAACAAAAGGATCAACAGGCAATACTGCAGAGGTCTCAACTGATCCTGCTTAAACCAACCACGCTGAAAAATTAAGAGTGGAAAAAACGTTCTGCTCACTAGATGCGAATATGCTTGTGGCCAGAGGACCTACAAATAAGAGCGAACTTCCAAGGGGAGTTTCAACAAAGAGGTGGGACAAAGGTCCTGATGCACGGCTTCAGAATCTTAGCAGAAATGTGGCTTTATTGGTACCAGCCAGAAAACAATGCATGAGCAAAGCAAGAGGTACCAAGAGGTTAGTTCAGGCAGAGGCAGATGGGTCAAGCACAAAAGTCAAGGCAACTATTGTTTGGGCTCTCAAGGTACTATGCATGTTAATTTTCTGGAAGGTGAAGGAATGACGACAGCTTCTTATCAGCACAGTTTGGGGAAGAAAAGGCAAAGTCTTGGCAGAAAACTACCCAGAATCTTATTAGCATATTCTTCCTATTATGAACATGCTCCTGCTTGCTCCTCTCATCAAACACAGGTAATTCTGTCACAAAAAAATCATTAGGCTTCTACCATGCAATCCTGAGTTTGCTCGTTCTGACTTCTTGGATTCGTTATCATAAAATCTTTGAAGAACACTGCATTTTCTCCAGCTAGCTATGTAAAAAGTGCTGACATGGCTAAATCCCAGGACCCATAATTTATTTTATCTTTGATGATGTTTACATAGTTCATTAAGTTGGGAAGGGTCAAAGGTGAGGAGAAAGTGGGTGAGACCACTATTTCAAAATTAATTTTCTTTTTCTTCTTCTGTATCTGATGGAAGCTGGGAAAGAAGAGAAGAGAAGAGAAGCCATCTCACCAGTCTTCCAATTGCCTCAGTACCTGGGGATGGGGAATGGCTACCCAGTGTCACCCCAGGGTCCCCAACGTGCAACATGTTCCAAGGATTCTACTCAAGTGGTTTCAATAGTTCTGAAATGTTGCCAATCTCACTGATACAGGATTAGGAAATCCTTCCAAGATCCACTGGCTGACAAAGTCCACCTTGGAGTCTCCATTTGCCCAGATATTTACTGCCAACACTTGGCTGGGTAGTTGACCAATTTGTTCTGTCCTCCTTCTTCTTATGGCACCAGATGTCCTCTGCAAGCTCCAATGGAATGCCATATCCTCCATGCGCATTTGGATATGCTGTCTGCCTGCTGCTCCATCTAAGCCACTGAGGAGGCATAGCTTTGACATACGCACTCCACAGTAAGATCACAGATTGATCCTGCAATTCTCCCCATGACTGGAGTTCTGAGTCCAGTGATTCATGGAAGGATCCTCAAAGAAACCTCATCTGAAATGTCTCACATCTCACTCTTGGATGTGCTCGCCAGTACAGGATCTGGCTCTGTCACACACATCGGCCTATGCAGACCATTAGCAGCAATTGCTGGGTCAGTTCTGTCTCCAGCCCACTCTCATATATAAACTAATGGATGCTGCAGCCCAGCCCAACCCTTTCTGCCACACACTCAGCCCTCAAGTACACCAGCGGGAGCTACAGCCTAGTCTGAGCAACTCCAACAACCCCTAATTGGTCTTCCCCTAGCCCTGGTTCCTATATTTGCAAGTATATATATGTATCAGCAGACTGGTCCAGTCTGTCCCACATCCCATTCAGCTCTCATACACGTCAATGGGCATTGAAGCCTAGCTCAACCCAATCAATCCCACTATCCAACCCACACTCATGCTGGCAGGTGCCACCACCTATCTAGCCATGCCTTCTCCTAGCCCTGATTCTCATGCTCACCAAAGGGAATTGTGCCCACAGTTTCCCTACTGGACCAGTCCCAGTCCTGTATCCTGCACTTTCCAGGTGGTTCCATAGTCTAGCTTGACAGGATTTACCCCCAAGTCCCAGTACTTGCCAGCTGATGCTGTGGCAAAGACTAACCAGTGTGCACTTACTTATGTATGCACCAGTGGGCACAGTTGGTTAGCCCAGCTTGGCTCTCCAACTAACCCAGCTCACTTGTAAGACCAAAAGTACTATAGTCCTCCCCAGCCTGGTCTGTCCCTGATCCTAGCTCTCATGCTAGCCAGTGGGAGCAGTGACCCAACAAGGGAGCCCCCCACAGGTGCTGCAGCCCTGTCTGGCCTGGCCCACCCCACCTCAGCATCTGCTAGTGGGTGTTGTAGCCCAGCCCAGCCCAGCCCAGTCTGCCCCACGTTCCAGCTCATGCTGGTGGATGATACAGCCTAACCCAGCCCACCCATCTCTCAGTTCTGGCTCTAATGTGAACTGGCTGGTATTGTGACCCAACCCACCCTGTCTTGCATCCCGTCCTGGTTCTCAGATCTATGTTGCGATCTGGCCCAGCCTGGCCCATCCCTATACCTGAGCCAAAAGTATGCTGGCAGGTACCATAACCTAGCCTTGTCTAAGCTACTCCCAGCCTTGGTTCTTGCATTCATCTGCAGGGACTGCACACTGACAAAGGAGTTCCCCAAGCCCTTCTATCAGATCTCTCAGTGGCAGATCTTATGTACAATGGGTCTTTGGCCCAAATCGATTTAGTCCACCTGCTGTCCTAGCAAGAACAGTGGTCTTGCCCAACTGGCCTACACCAATCCTGGTTTTTACTGTTGGGAGTTACAACCGAGCCTGGTCCACACCCATACACAGTTCAGAGGGTACCGAGACATATCCCAGCCTGTCCTACACCCACTCTGGCTCTCACAAGCACCAGTGGGTGCTGCAGTCTAGCCCAGTCTGGCATACCCCAGCCCAGTATACAGTCATGCCAGAGGACACTACAGTCATGTCCAGCCCATTCTGCTGGGTCATCTCCATTACAGCTCTTGCACTCACCAGTGGGAACCACAACTCTGCCAGGACATCCCTTTAGCTCCCCAGACAGGCCTGTTCCCAGCTACAGATCTTGCAAGTGCCAGTGGTAGCTCTGACCCAGCTCGGCATAGTGCATCCCCCTTCTTGGCCTTTGTCATCAGATGCTGCATCCTGACCTATACTGGCCTGCCCCAGTCCCATTTCATGCTGGCAGATGATTCAGCCTGGCCCTGCTCAGTCAGCTCACATTTCTGTCTCATGCAAACCAGTAGCTGTGATAGCCTAGCCTGGCGTGACTTGCATTATTGCCTGGCTTCTGCACCTGCCAATGGCCTAAAGTTGGCCTGGCCTTGCCTGGTCCATGATCCAACTCACACACTTGCTGACAGGTGGAGCTACCCTGCCTGGCCTCACCAACATCCAGACCTGAACCACATGCTCACCAGTGGGATCTAGAGCCAACCAAGAGAGTTTTCCAAGTTCCTCTACCAGGCCATCTCCAAGACACAGACCTCCTATGTGCCAGTAGGTGCTAGGCCCTTACTCAGCATAGCCTGCCCGTCCACTCTGACCTTTGTATGAGCTGGTGGACGTTGTGGCCTGGCCCA